GTGCTTGAGAAGAATGTGTAGTCAGCTGTTTTTGGATGGAGTGCTCTGTACCCATAGGTTTTTAAAATAATTATTGATATTAGCCAGTTCTTTTCATATGGAATAGCTGAGATGCCTTCCCTTTTAGCCCTTTCCATGGCTGGCTCTTGTCGGTATTTAAGTCTTAGTTGAGATGTCACATTTTCATAAAGGTGTTCTCTGACCACTGATTAAAGAATTTACCTCTGCCACCCCCTATAAACTTTTGCCCTAGTTGCTTGAAGAAAATCATACTAACTTATTTTTATAGTAGTTATCACAGTCTAAAATCGTCTTATTTATTTATTCCGTGAGTTTAAGATTCTTAAGTACAGAAAGTCCATCTATAGCCTTTAACTTTCTGTCCCAGGTGCCTAGCATGGCGCTCAGCTCTTAGTAGGTACTCAGTAAATATTTGTTGAGTAAATGGACTTGACTTAAGAGTTTCAGGGCATTATTTAGTCAAATCCAATTCTGTAGTCAAATCATCAGTACAGTGTTTCTAGTAAACTCTCAAAATAGCAAATGTATTTTCAGAGAAAGTTAAACATTTATTGTGAACTTGAATGGCCTTGGCCAAGAAGAGCCAGCAATCAGCACTTTTCAACCTTTAGACTTGTTCTTTTTTCTTGTTGCTAATTTCTGCAGGAATAAATGGATGCTAGTTGAAGAGTCCTCCTCAGACGGGAGGGGGAGGATGAAAGCACACATTTTTAAGTCGGGAGTTAGCCAGGTACAAAATGTTAACGGTAATCTCCTGGTGATGGGATTTTGGCTAATTTTTATTTCCTTATTAATGCACAAAATTGCCAAAGTCTTTGCAATCTATATGTATTCATATTTTTTCTAATTATAAAAGTATTCTAAAAAGAAAAGCAATACTAAAAATATTAAGGAGCGATAGGCATAGATAGCACTTTTAAAGCTGAAACTGAGCCTATGAATAATTTAACTAAAAGTCTCACATTTTATAATGGAGGCACCAATTGGAGAGGGCAGCTCACGGAGCTAACTGGGGGCACAGCTGGGTCTGGACCCCACCCCACTTCACTCTCATGCAAAACCTCTTCAGTATCCTCTGGATGCCAGGCCCATAGCAAAGGTAGCGAGAATCAGCTGAGCCCATGCAGTCCTATTTTTAAACCAGCTCCTCAGGTGATTGGGATGTACACCAGAGCCCTAGCATTGCATCAGACGGCACTGTCTTTCCAACCAGGAGCCTGGCCAACAGTCAAATAACTAAATGTTAATAGAATAGATATCGGAATCTACCCTTTTCTCATGAAAATGCAGTAGTTTGCAGCCCAACATTAGGCCTGTTCTTGCCTTTGAGAGTTGTAACTGTATTGTTTCCTAGGATATGTGACTGACAATGATGTACCACAGTACTTGTACATGAAAATCTGTTTAAATAATATTAAAATATTTTTGATGAGGAAGTGCCAGATAGCACTAAGCCAACTCATTAGCTTAATATTTCATTTGTATGCCATAAAAATTATTATTCAGCATTTTATAATGAAGAGAAAAGACATATTCTCTTCTGTTTTTTTTAGTATTTGAATTTTTTGCCTTTCCTTTTCATGTTTCTATCACAAGTCCTAGGTTCTTTTCATAATTAACTAATTAGAATTAATAGCCTTTTAGTACTTTGAAATGTCTTACTTAGCCCACCTTTTCCGAGAATTATCAGAGAGAGTGAATAGCTAACATTTATTGTATGGGGCGCTGGGCTAAGTGTTTTACATGTATTCATTTGTTTAATCATCACAGGAACTTTGTGAAATAGGTCAGTGGTTTTCAAACCTTTCTTTTGTTTGCAACCCATGCTAACACATTTTACATCATAATCCAGTAACAAACATCTTTATATATAACAGAAGTTTCATCAATTAATATTAACACTGCAGTATAGTCTCTTTTCTTCTTTTTTTAAGTGTTGGTTTCAATCCACTAAACAATTCAAACAAGCCGCCTGTAATACCCCGTTTCCTTTTCCATTGGACTGAGTGAATTTCAGTGTCCAATTCCTAGCAGGTTACAGCTCTTATGAAAAATACAGAGGTGTGGTGTTGTCCTCATTTTACAGATGAGAAAGCTGACAGGTTAAGTAAACTGCCCAAGTGTCACGGCTGGTGAGTGGCAGAGCTGGGATTTGAACCAGGAGCCTGGGCTCTCAGTTTATTAAACTGAATTATACAGCAATACAATTTCCAGATAAATTGGATTTCAAGGTCATCTCCACCTTGCTTCTGTGGTAGGGAAAAAATGTTTATAATGCAAGTACTACCCCTCAACTGTGTCCTCCGCCTGCCAAGAAAAAGTTGATTTGCTCAGCATAAGACGGGGAGACAGACAGGAGACCCTGAAGATTTGGGAATAGGGAACAAGGATCTTCTGGATCTTATAGGGGACTTTGAGAACTTAGAGGTGGAGCAGAAATGTCTAACTGGGATATTTTTATTAAGTAATTTTGTGTGACTTTGAAGAAAAATTCTCTTCTATCTCCCTTCAAAATTCTAAGTAAAATTACCCACTCACTGATATTTGAACTGTGGAGTTGATTTTGGAGATTTAAGTTCAGCCTCAAGTCTGAAACTAGGTCAGAACAGAGGCCACCTGCTGGGGCCAGCCACATCTGGGTAATACTTTACTGAAGGAGTGCTGTACATTCAGTAAACATTTACTTATTGTCTGCTGTGTTCAGGGCGCTGTCCTGGGTACAAGGGATACAAAGATGGTTAAGATCTACCAAACAAGTTTTCTGTGAATATTGACTAGATTAGAAGATAAGCATCTCACAGATCTCTGCCGTGGAAAGAAGCTTGAGTCATTATGCCTCTAAATTTTGTAGCCTGGGAAGTTCATTGATATTCTTGTATTACAGACTTAAAGCTCCATGCAGGCAAATATGTGTGTGTCTTGTCCACCACTGTATCCCAGTTGCCTGGCACATTGTAAACACTAGGCATTTGCTTATTGATTATCGATTAATAGCCAAGGAACTTTTGTAGTATTTAAGAACTCAGGTCAGGGAGTCAGCTTATTTCCATCTGCCTATAAAAGTGTAAATAAAAATATAATAGTTCATATGGAGAAACTGCCTTATTAAGTGCTATCTGAGCGTAGTATACTGTGTTTACTGAAATCAATTTCATTTGCTCTGTGATTTGCTTCTGAAAATGTTGACCAGCCACCTGTAACACCCCATTTCCTTTTCCCCTGGACTGAGTAACATTTCAGTGCCTACTTCTCTAGCCCTCGGGAAGTAAAAGGAGGAAAGGTCTGTCTCCTCCTTCCATTCTTCCAAACCACTAGACATCTGCCAAGCAGCTGTGATTTGAAAGAAATCCTTTGCCTGCCCTGATGAGGACCAGTCCCTCCCTGCCTGTTGGAAGAGTCTGGGCTGACATGTCAGCTCATACTCACTGAGAGCCCAAGTGCAGGCAGATAATATTATGTAGCAGGAGGAAGCAGAGAGAGGCTCGGAGACAAATACATAATCCAAGCATAAAATATGTTTAAGACTAGAGGTTGCTCTTTCATAGCCAAGGGAGTTGCAGGGAGGCTGAGGGGAAGGAGGATAAGTAATGTATATTTGGAGATGGCGAGCAGGAGAAAGGTTACTATGTGGAGGAACTAGTTATTTGCCTAGATTTCACCTCAGAATGTAGAGTAAAGAAGTAGTCAAGAGGAGGAAATATGTGTAAGTATACGTTGTGTATGGCATTAGTTACCAGGTAGCAATATAAACAATTATGTTATGCGGGCCATTTTATCATAAACCTGCCATCTACACTCTGATTGCATTTGTAATAATGAGTAATAATTATTTTGCATTTGTAATGTGAGGCCTGATAGTTGATGCACTTGCTGTGTCTGTAATCCTTATTTCTTTTAATTTGTTTTCCTTTTTAAAGGATGTTTTCTTTGCTATACAGAGGTCTTTGTAAGAGAGAAGTTACAGTCTCCCCCTGCTGGATATGACTGGTAGAACCTGAACATTTAGGTTACTTGACATGTATTTTTTATGTAGCTTCATGAGGACTCATTTACCTGAACTTGCAACTTGCAACTTTTCTTCCCCACAGCCTCACTAAGCAGCCTTTTGATTACACCTTTTCCATCTCCAAGCTCGTCTACATCCTCTTCCAGCAGTTACCAGCGCCGCTGGCTTCGAAGTCAGACAACAAGTTTGGAAAATGGCATCATTCCAAGGAGGTAAGTTGCAAATTTCCTCTCGCTGAGAAAGGGACTAGTGTAGGCAGCTTGACGAGGCTGGCAGGACACTGCTCACCTGTCATCAGTGGAGAAAGAGAGCTGAAACTTTCTGATTAGCTTCAGCTTAGCCTGGAAGTTTACAAGTGAGAAGCTTATGGAAATTACAAAGTAATTTGAATTTTTTGCCTTTCCTTTTCATGTCTCTATTATAAGTCCCAAGTTCTTTTCATAATTAACTAATTAGAATTAATAACCATTTAATACTTCGAAATGTCTTACTTAGCCCACCTTTTGCAAGAATTATCAGAGAGAGTGAATAGCCAACATTTATTGTATGGGGCGCTGGGCTAAGCGTTTTACATGTGTTGATTTGTTTAGTCGTCACTGGAACTTTATGAAATAGGTCAGTATTTTTCAAACCTTTCTTTTGTCTGCAACTCATGCTAACGCATTTTACATCATGATCCAGTAACAAACATCTTTATATGTAACAAAAGTTTCACCAATTAATATTAACACTGCGATATATTCTCTTTTCTTCTTTTTTTAAATGTTGGTTTCAATCCGCTAAACAATTCAAACAAGCTACCTGTAACATCTCCTGGTTTGGAAGACACTGGGAAATATCTGGGTAGTTGTGCCATGTATGAGTTAGATTTAGTGTTAGTTTAAAATGAGTATGCTCTCTCTTTTAATTGGCTTCCTTCCAGGTGTAGCTCTTGTAAGTTAGAAGGGTGAACTCAATCTCTCCCTTGGCTTATGGTGAAACCAGTGTGGTCTTTGAAAGTATATGAACTCAAGGATTGTGACATACTCTCTTTGTAAAACTTTAGTTCTTGAGCTAAACAGTCACAAATCTGATTATGAATAGAGATGGCATCAAGGTATTTTCTTCCATCATTTCAGTTGGTTTTTAGATCTAAAGTTTAGTTGTGTGAAAAATGTACATTTTTGGCTTCTTATGATGTTATATCAGTAGCTTCCAGTCTCTTCTTCCTACAGCCCAAAAACTTAAAGGGGTATTAAGATAAGTTATACCTATAAAAATTCACAGGTAAATTGGTTGATTTAGTAAGTTGACTTAGTAATCACCACGTGTAGGGATCTGTGAAGGTGTAAAGATGATTCAGCTACACACCTGCATATAAGTAGTTTAAAGACTAATAGAGAAGAGGATAGGCATTTATGTACTGGTATAAAGATAATAAATGATAAAGTCTATGGAGAGGCATAAAGTGCTTTGGGACTCAGAGGAGGGAGAGAACACTTGCTGGTGGTCGTGGAGGGAATTGGGGAGCCCTCCGTGGAAGAGAGGCTACTGAAAGGACAAGCTTAGAAACGAGGGGTTAGGGCATGTGTGTAGCGCATATCAGGCTGCTTGCCTCTCTTCGGTTGCTCTCACAATCCTAGGGAGCTAGATAAAAAGAAAAAAAATGTATCACTCTCTGAGAAACTGCTTCTTGGTTGGTGGACTTCAAGTGGAATGGTTAAGAGCTTGGAATTTGGTGTGGTGACAAGTCCTACCTCTGCCACTCACCAGATGAATGCGAGAATGAGTTAACCTGTATTCTAAGTGTTACTTCCTCATCTGCAATATGATAATTGTCTTGGTACCAGCCTCACAGCGTTCTTGGGAGAGTTAAATGAGATACAGCAAGTCAAGTCAGGCCTGGACTGGGTATGGTAAATAAAATATTGGCCAATATGGCTTATTTACTACTACTATTGCCATTATTATCATTACCATTACTGCAACTGGCAGGAGAGGGCGTCCACCGTCCTCACTGTCATTACAAGGGCTTCTGTGAAGAGGTAGATGGGTCTTAGAAGCCTTCTCCTTTAGATGTCTTCTCTTTACTAAAAATCCTTTTCCATCCCTTCAGGTTTAAATTGAAAGTTGAATAGCATTCCCCAACCCACTCCTCTGAAATTCTTTGAAAACTCTAATTTGAATTGAGACTTGGTAACTAGGGAATTTCTAGTGAACTTATGCCTAAAATGAGTGCCTTGGGCTCAAAAATGAAAATACAGAGTCCATTGTTCAAAAAGCAGGAAAAATTGCTGTTAAAGGGACTAAAATTTAAAGCTTTTCCTTTAAAAATATTTTACTTACAAAATGTAATAGAAATAATAGTGATACATGAATAATAACATAAACTTATAAATTGTAAAAAATAATATCTTGATGTCAGAATTTTGTATAATAGTAATCTTAATGCAGTATCTTGATTCATCATAAGATTTTTCTGGTTCACTTTTCTGCAGATTCATTTGTTTAGGTCATCAAAATTTATACATCAATATAATTGAAAGCAGCATTAGTTACTCCTGGCAAATGCAAGGTGGCAAATAATTTTTGATAATTTTTTTATTTTTAGAAACATCTTTCTGCTGCTACAACTGTTACTGGAGCTCTATAGGTTACGATAACCTTGAGATAAATTTTCAATAAACTTTTGAAGTATAAATTTTAGTACATCTAGATCAGATGATTCTTGTGGAATAGTTTTTCTAAAAAACTTTAATCCTTCTCACAAATCCATTTTGTGTAAGTCTGAATTTAATTTTAAATGTAAATTTATACAAACTTATTTTAATGTTTCCTCTATTTCCTGTAACTCATGAAGGCTTTACAAGAAAGTGAAAGTGTCTTCGTGAGTTGTATATAATTCAGAATGCCTGGTGGGACATTCTATCAGTGTATCTTCAATTATATGAAAAAATTAATTTTAAAATCAGCGTCTTTATTAATAATTTCTTCATCTAAAGCTTCATATGAAAATAGTGGGGTTTTTTTCTGTCCAGAGCAACAAACTTTATATTTAATTTCTATTTCTATGGCTGTGGATATTTGCTTTGCAGTGCTGCTACAGTTTTCAAAACGAGTTATTATAAACTCTGAAGAATTCCAAGTCTCTGATATGCTTTATTGCAGTATCCACTGTAGGCTCTTACTTTGTAATAATTTACTGTCCTGGGGTTCAGGTCGGAGAGTTAAATATTTGTGCAGACTCCATAAGAATGGGCTCTGATGATGGACGGACAAGCTGGCCTCCCACCAAGGGTCATGACCCTGCCCAAGTCCTTCCTCTCTCCCATGGCCATGACTGCTGCTGCTTCTGCTGCTGCCTCTCCTGCTTCCGCTGTCACAGCCACCAGTCTGGGCCCAGGTCCCAGCCTTGCTGCCTTGGGGCCTCGTGGCACCCTGGGTTGCCCAGACATGTGGATGTGTGCCCGACCACCAGGCCAGTTGCTCAATGTCTGGTTTGCATGGCCTCGGACTTGAGCCCACTGTATGCTCTGCTGCCTGGTGTCTTTACTGCTCATGTACATGCTTCGTTGTCCCATCAGACTTCACTTACAGAACACAGTTCAAAGATAAAATTGTTAAGAATTCAAGATAGCAACCACAGATCATTAAACCAAACCTGGGGCCCCTCTGAGACAAGGGCTTTGTGTGAGCGGGGTTGCATGCCTGTGAAGCTGGCCTGTGAAGCTGGCCCTGGGTTCAGTCCTATTGAACACGGAGAATGTCAGTGCAGCAGGCATTTTGAATGATCACTCTGCCTGTGAAGATCCCTTCATTTAAAGGATGGTGCAGTTGATCTCTCCCTTTTGGCAAGTGTGTGACTGGGAAAATGAGTTTCTTATGCTAGACAAGAGAACAGTGAGTACCAAAAATATGATTGCCTCTGGCTTTGAGAGAAAATTCACAGTAATCAAAAATTTTCTTCCTAAGAGAGTTACAGGTAGTCAAGGAGGATATTGACAATCCTTAACAGTGGGCTCTAGACTGACACCCATGCTGCAAGGCCCCCTCCTGTGCCAGGTGGTGAACTTTGGTTACTGGATGGGGAGTCAGGCTTGGGCGTTTGCCAGCTGGTACAGCAGTACTCCCTATAGTGGGAGAGAAGCTGCAGAGATTTCATCCCTTAGTGAGGCTATTGAAACCCTAAAAGAGCAAGGGATGATGTCCCAGAAAGGCTTTTGATCTGAATTGTTAAATTGAACCAACCATGCAATGGGATGGCTCTTCGACCTACAAATGTGGCGATTTCATATGTTCCAATGTAGTACATAGAGTCAGCATAAGTTCAAAGCTGACATAAACAATTAGACTAAGCAGTCCTAATATTAATTATAGATCACTGAGATGTACTTAAATAAGCATAGTTTTTCCCTTGTTTATGATCTTGAAGTACCCATAATGTATGTAAATACTTATTCATAAATGTCAACAAAATTGTTTGATTTTTTCATAAGGAGAAAATTAAGTGGGCAGCAGTGGTCTTTCCTTGACTTGAAGGCCTGTCAGCTGATGTGATTACTCCCAGCTATTTCCCCTCAGTGCTCCAGCTGGCATGATGGTCTGATGGCTTGAACAGCAGCAGATGGATCAGACATGGGGGCAGAGTCCCTGGTTGTTTCCAGTGTCCAAGAAATGAGCCTAGACTAGAGGACAGATACCCTGGGTTCTAACTCCAGCATTGTCACTAAGAAGCTTTCTGTTCCTGAAGGAAGTTGATTAATCACTCTGCCTCAGTTTCAGCATTTGCAAAACGGTCTGTATACCTTACCTGGTGACTTGAGGGTAAAGATATGACGAAGTATTTGGGTGCATACTTAAATTTTTTAAAACATTCCGAAACATCCTTTCATTGTGGAATAATTTTAAAAATATAATTACAATACCACATGACCTAATTTATTCCAGTTTGCATGATTGATCCAAGACTACAGAATGAAGCTCAGTTGCTTTAGAATTCAGTAGAGAGATATATAACAAAGCAAGTACGAGCAATCTGCACTATTATAGCTATGGAAGTTTTTCAGAAATTCAGTAGGTGGCACTCTCTGCTATGTTAAAGTGGAGTTGGTTATTGTTTATAGGGTAGAGATGAAGATGATGCATAAAACTGCATAGGGTCCAGGGTTTTTCTGCAATTTGAATATTGAAGACCACATTGGCCAAAGATGAATGGACTGATATGATCATTTTACTTTTGAAAAAGAAGAGAAATGGCAGATAGACAAAGAAGAAAGGGTTGTAAGAAAGAAAGAAAAAAAATATAAGCTCAGAATTTCGTATCCAAAATACCAATAAACTGGTGCAGGACAACAAAGTTATATTATGGGCACCTTGGAAAAGAAGAGGGAGCAATGTATGAAATTAAGTAAAATTCTAAGAGAGCCTCAAGAATTTTCTTCTGACGAGCAGATGATTAGGATCTAGGAATTCCTCAGAGAAAACGGTTGATGGTTTATTATAATGCACAGCATTTACAACAGCACCTGGAGATCGTGTCCTTCCAGAGGCATGTCTGTTAATGAGAGTCTCTTACTGATTCTTCAACCCCATCTACATTTCCCGCATCTTGCTTGAAGTTAAAAGAAAAATAACGTATCCCTCTGAGGTTAGAACAAGATGTCTATCTCCTTGCCTTTAAAAATAAAATAGCTTTCCTGAGGATAAAACTTTTGATGTATGTATGTTTTTAAAAAATGCGAATGTTTGAAATCACAGGAACATTATGGACTGTGAGTAGAGCACTAAATAAGAACTTTAAGACCAAGAGTGGGAGGGTGCCTCGAATTCTGCCAAGCATAAGTAATTGTTATGTTGCAATTTGTAGTAAAGAAAATGGAGGAAGCCAAATCCTCCCTTATTGGGCAGAGATATGAGACTAAATGGTGGGGTCAATGAGAGAAAACTTATTGCATACCTACTATGTGCCACCAGGCTAGGCGCTTCCATTTGCAATGTTATGTCCTTTGCTTTGATGTCTTTGTAGAAAAAACAAGTTATTTCTTTTATTTTCACTCTTGCTGTTAGTAGCTGTGTGGTAGTTATGCTGGTTTTTCGAACAGTTAAATAAGAGACAGGGTTGGGCCATATTTGTGAGGTTTACCGCTTAAGAAAAGTTGAATATATATTCAGAATTTATTGGCTTCATGATTCTCTTATCATAGAAGCAGAGTTTTTCGAAAGAATCTTAAGTTTTTTAGAGAATTTGGCTCTACCAGAAGAGAGGTGGATCTTTCTGCTTGGGGGATTTCTCAGAGAGCTTAATCAGTCACGTGGCTTAATCTGAGCATTTACAGGAGTAACTTCATCTAATGGTTTTAATAGCCTTGGGAAGATAAGCCTTAACTACCATTAAATATCCAAACACGATGCCTTGGTTAAACAGAATACCACATAAGATCATGTTTCTTTTGACATTCTTATCTGTTGGTATCTGTCAACCAAAACAAAAGGCCTATGTTTTGAGAGAACAGATGTTGCACACCCCAACCTAAATACCACCCATCTGATGCGAAATAGGCCAGGGGAAAAGGACTGAGAATCTAATAGGGGGACATTTGAAATTACTTTCAGTTTTCATTTAAATTTCTTTCCACGTTAGGATAATATTGTGTGGCAAGCTGATATTTTCATTTTTCATGACAGAAAATTATAGAAGAGAATGAATTAGAGGTAGATAAACTCGTAGTTAAGACTCTGAGTGTTCTGGACTAGCTGTCTGAATGTTGTCCCCTGGCATTACAGTTTATCTTCCATGTAATTCATTGATGCATGGCAATTTTTTGAACTTATTTTTCCTCCAGGTCAACTGATGAGACATTCAGCCTGGCTGAAGAAACCTGTAGTTCTAATCCGGCCATGGTTCGGAGGAAGAAAATTGCCATAAGCATCATCTTTTCCCTGTGTGAGAAAGAAGAGGCACAAAGGAATTTCCAGGACTTCTTTTTTTCTCATTTCCCCCTGTTTGAATCTCACATGAACAGGCTGAAGAGTGCAATTGAAAAGGTAATAGGAATGTAATCCAGTGTCAAACAGAGAAGCGATTATGGGGCTTTGGATATGGTAGAATCTCTTTGTTTATGTATTAAATCACTTTCCCAGAGAACTTAAATCACCTGCAACAGTGATAGATCCTTAGCCCATTGATATTAGAGATCAGATATTGGTTTGCTTTAGGAAAGGAAATTACTGCTTCCTGATGACTTTAGTCATTACCACCTTGAATGTTTTGATTATAATATTGTCTTTTATTAATAAAGCCCAGTAGATAGTTATAAAGGAATTTCTTCTTGGAGAGTAATTTGGCTTGTTTTCTCTTCAATGAAGGCCATGATCTCCTGTAGGAAGATTGCAGAATCAAGTCTCCGTGTCCAGTTTTATGTCAGCCGTCTGATGGAAGCTCTGGGAGAGTTCAGGTAAATTGGCAAAGTTTGGTGAATCCAATAGGAAATTCATGAGCAGCAGTAGCAACGGCAGCCATGGATCTAGGGATACGTGGAGACCATGACTTGGAAGAATTGAGGGGCTGGCAATTATTAGTCATTTTGGCAGCTCCTTCCTTCAAGATGGAAACTTGAAGACCAAATGGAGGAAAAATTTAAGTCATCCAGCACCAAATAATCCTCACTACTGGCTGACAGACAGTTCTTGATGTAATTGTTTTTAACAGGATGAATGGAGAAAACTAATATTCAGGTATCTCTTTTAAGCCTGTTCATTATTTCATGTCATCTTCACAAAAGCCCTAAGAGTAAGCACTATTAACCCCATTTTACAGATGTGGAAACTTGAATTCAAGGATGCTTGTCCAAAGCATAAATGGAGAGAGTATGCATGTCTGGGAGATACACATTCCAGTTTGCCTGAACATCCCTAGTTTATACCCAATGTCCTCTCCTAAGGTCTGGACATTAAATTATATGATCACTCTAGTGTGTCTTCATTGTTAGTTTCTAACTGATGATCTTTGTACTCTGGAGACTGACCTTTGTACTCTGGAGAATCTTTGCTCCTAATGTATGGGTGAAAAGGTAATCTGCTTTGGGTAACAGGTGGGATTCTCTTGCACTGTCCTGAGCTGGGATTGTTGCACGTTTTCTTAGAGCCAATTTCTCAATGGGGTATGGAATCCCACTCCAAAGCACTCATGAGCTAATGAGTCAAACTGTTACCCTGTAGCTGAGGGATAAAAAATGTTAGAATTCTCAGAAAGTTAAAACGTGATGCTTAATGAATATACTGGTGAACTCCATAATCTACTTGGAGCAAAATCCCCAGCCTTTTTTGAACCCTGGGTTATGTATAAAATACTCAAGTAACACATTAGTCGTTATCTGGTGATTGTTAAGACCTAAGTCATATGTTTGAGAAATAGTGTGGAGTTGTGTTTTTTGATGGCAATCTGATGATTAGTAAACCTTCTGTAATTGGTGTGGGTGGCACTGGATTTGCCTGTTGCTCTGCTGTGGTCAGACTAGAAGCTGGCTTGTGCTTGAGAGTCTGGACACTAGTTTAATGAAAGTATCAATTTTCCAGAGGTCAAGAATCTGAAAGTACAGAACCAGAAAGCCTCACTGTGTACATAGAGAGGTGCTGTTCTTACTTCAACAACCTACCCCTCCAGAAATGGTGACAAAATAAAGTGTTAGCGTTTGGAGACCTTAGTTTTAGTAAATGAATCTCAGTTCCATGTGACCGTAACTTGTCGTTGCTACCTAACTCCGCAAATGCTCTGTTTTTTGCCAAGGTGGACTTCTTTTGTATCTCAATTCTTTTATGCACACAGCTAGAAAATCAAGTCAGAATATGTCTCATCTATCTTGATTTGGGAAGAGTAGATGTGTTTCAAATTCAGAAATACCAGTGGGGATCCTAAGTTAAGTTAGTGTGCTCTTTGGAAAAACACTTGTGAGTCATGTAGCTTGGAGCAGAGCCCTTGGCATAAGGGCAGGAGACCTGCATTCTCACCCTGAGCTTGTCATGAGATATTTGTATGTCTTGCGCAAGTAACGTAATTTCCCTAGGCCTCAGTTTCTTAATCTGTAAAGTGATAGAACTAAATGAGTCAGTTTCTCTAATAGTTTACAGTTCTAAGAATTTGATTCGATTAGTCCATATAAAAACTTAGTATAGGGGCCGGCCTGGTGGCGCAGCGGTTAAGTGCAAGCGCTCTGCTTCAGCAGCCTGGGGTTCGCAGGTTCGGATCCTGGGCACGCACTGACGCACTGCTTGTCAAGCCATGCTGTGGCAGCGTGCCATATAAAGTAGAGGGAGATGGGCACGGATGTTAGCCCAGGGTCAGTCTTCCTCAAGAAAAAAGGGGAGGATTGGCATCGGATGTTAGCTCAGGGCTAGTCCTCCTCACAAAGAAAAAAATAAAACTTTAGTATATAAAATATTGCAGAAGAGCCATCTATATATATATTTTTTTATCTATAATGAACAGGCTGCTTTGGTTTAGAGAACTAAAGCACTAACCATAAATTGGGAGAGTTGACTTGCCTCCGGTCACATTTTTAGTAGAACATATACTTTCTTTCTTTCTTTATTTCTTTACTATAAAAACAGGCATAAATTCTGACACAAGGCATTGTGAAAATAAATTGTTTCAAAAATGAATATTTTATATCAAGTGTTGGTATACCGTTTCTATAAAGGGTCTCTGTTGCAGCTCCTCAACTTTGCCATTGTGCAAAAGCAGTGGTAGATAATTTGTAAAGGAATGAGCATGGCTGTGTTCCAATAAAACTTTATTTACAAAAAAGGTGGCAGTCAGGTTTGGCCTGTGGGTCATAGTTTGCTGACCCCTGTTTTATATACTGCGTGAATCCCTTAAGGACTACACAGATCTAAATTATTGTTTTCTCCTTGATTCCTTTGTAAAAAGATTATCCAAAATATTTGTGACAGTTTTGTGTATCCCTTCTCTTTTCTATAGAGGGACTATCTGGAACTTATATTCTGTTCCAAGGATAGCTGAACCCGTATGGCTTACCATGACGTCCAGCACTTTGGAAAAAACCCAGCTCTGCCAGCGCTTTCTCAAGGAGTTTACACTTCTGATAGAACAGATCAACAAAAACCAGTAAGCTTCAACTCTCTGGAGCCTTATATGCAAATTCTTGGCCAGTGTATGTGCTGTATATGACATGCCTCTTCCTGCATTGACTCCTCTGGTTGTGTTTTCTTCCGTTTCTCCAAGGTTTTTTGCTGCCTTACTGACTGCAGTGTTAACCTACCACCTGGCCTGGGTACCGACTGTCATGCCTGTGGATCACCCTCCCATTAAAGCCTTCTCAGAGAAACGTACCTCTCAGTCGGTGAACACGCTGGCCAAAACACATCCATATAATCCTCTCTGGGCACAGCTGGGTTAGTACCTAATTTGACTTTTCGGGGATTATATGGGATAGAATAGGAAAAATGCTAGAATTTTTAGTTGATATTAGCTCTCCAACCCGGTAATTCAGGGGTTGTCATTGGGCAGGCAGGGAATAGGAGACTGGCCCACAGGTTCCAGTTGTAAAGCTACCGCTTTCCTCTTCCCACTGCCAGCAGCTTTGTTCTACTCTTTTAAAGCAGCGTAGGTAAACTGTGTTCCCCCATACCACAGCGGCAATTCACCCTAGAGTAGGATTTCTTAACCTCGGCATTACTGACATTTAGACTAGATAATTCTCTGTTGGGTGGGTCATAGAGGGAGCTGTCCTCTACATCGTGGATGTTTAGCAGCATCCCCGGCCTAAATTCACTAGCTGCCAGTGAAAAACTCCCTTCCAAAGTTGTGACGATCAAAAATGTTTCCGCTCCATTGCTGCATGTCCCCTGGGGGGCAAGACACCCCCTGGCTGAGAAGCACTGCCCTAGAGGATGGGCTGGATAGGAGAAAAATAAGAAAAAAGAAAGTAACACACTATAATTTCACCACCTTTTAAATTTTAGCTTAAGTCAGAAACCCGTCTTTCTCTCTTTATGCTGCTTCCTTGCAGTTAGTTGATGGCGTTTATTTCCTCAAACCTTTATGATTCAGCATGGTATAGGAATCTAATGCTTTGGCATAGTTGGTTACAGAGTTTGGAACTTGTGGGGGAAGAGGGAGAATTCCCCCTCTGCCCTTTCTCTTAAGGTTCTTATGGCTGGCCAAATAATTAACGAGACAGGTTAGCAGGAGAAAATAATACCAAGTTTAATAACATGTATACATGAGAGAAACCAGGGACACTGCGTTTCTCAACACAATAGCAGAAATTCTTGTCTTAAATACCATCTTCAGCTAAAGACAAAGGAGAATGTTGGGGGGTGGGGGGAGTCAGTTACAGGAGATTACCACTAAAGCACAGTAAACAAGAGTAAGGTTATCATGCAGATTTAAGGCTTCACCTTCCACATTGATAAGTTTCTAGAAATTAGGTCATCCCCCTTCTTCCCAATGCAGAGAGGGAGATACCCTTACGAATGGAGATTTCCCTTATAAATGTAAATGTTTGTCTGGCAACTCCTTGCAGGGCCATCTAAAGAATGTGGCCAGAGAGACAGAATTTTTGATATTTTTGATGGGCTTGTTGGTGCCTTTCCTATTGTAACATCTATTTTACATTATATTACAGTCATCAGATAGAAGATCTGTTCCAGGAAGGAGTTACTATGTCAAATTCTTTAGGCAGTTAGTGGGGGAGGTCAAATGTCCATCAGAGAAAACAATCAAGGTAAAGAGATATATTTCAGGGTGGCCAAATCTTGATCTCCCACAGACTTATAAGACCAATTTTGCTTCTTTGGGTTCATATGGAGGAGAGGTATACTCTGGACCTCTCACTCACCAAACATTTAGAGTGACAAAGTAAAACTTGTGCACTCATTGTGTTCCAAAGCCTATGCTAGATGCCAGAGATATGGAGTTGAGTAACACATGCTACTTAGCTTCAGGAAGCTAGCTGCCTAATGGAAGAGGCGGATTTGTTTTCAGATGATTTCAAAACATCCTAATTACTCCTTTGATAGGGGTGTGCAAAAGGATGCAAGAGAGAGACAGTGTAGTGCAGAGGTTACGAGCAGGGGTGCCAGAGCCAGACTGCCTAGATCAAATCCAGTCTCCATGGGCAAATGACTAACCTCTCTGTGCCTCAGTTTCTTCATCTGTAAAATGGGGTGATAATAGTTCATGGTTGCTGTGGGAATTAAATTAGTTATACATAAAGCACCTTTGTTATTGATGCTGCTGATGAAAATATTAATATTGGTGGGGCACGAGAGACAGAGTGAGGGGATTGAGGGGATTTTCAAGGAACACATACATGAGGAAATATTAAAATGGCATTTTCTAGAAAAAGAATTACAAACTGGGGAAAAGCACTCTAATCTTAGAAAACAACATGTTATAATAACAATAATGAAAGTTGTCACTCTGAGTCAAGCACTTGTATGTGCTTTTTGCACGTTTTAATTCATTAGATTCTTATTCCAAACCTGTTACTATTGTCCTCACTTTACAGATAATAAAGATGTCTTACACTTGTGCCTGGGTCATGAGATGTGTAAGAAAGAGAATACATGTCTCTTAGTTAGGGGGATAATAGGTGCGTATTAAATGAATTAACTAAAGAATTTATAGTTGTTAAACATGGATTTAATACAACTGATCGGTACTGAGCTCAGAGAAGAACGCAGAGCATGCCTCACTCACTCTGGGTCATATGGTTCTTCCTGGGGAGGACAGAGCATTACTGTTCTTGTTTTGGAACAATAGTCTTAAAAAAAGGTAGTATCATTAAGTGATGAAGAGAAGGGAGCAGAAGGGAGCTGGATGTTAAGGAAACATGGTGTTCATGCTGTTAGGTCACCCATTTAAAAACAATGATAATTAAGCAGTGTGCATTTAATTAGATAAACGTATTTATAATTAGACATGCTTCTCATTTGAAATTTAGCTAATTGAGAGCCATTAATTCCCCGTGTTTAGCATAACAAGGTGAAGTCCCGTCCTATGGGCTCACAGTCCTTTTTCACAGGAGATCATGTATTATTGAAACTCTCCAGTCCTCCCCTCCTCCAACGCAGCAGGAGTCTGGCTCTTGACAAGAGTGGTGCGAGGAGGGATGAGGCCCTGGTGCAGAGTCATGTGATAGCTTTGTAAACCCAAGTGTAAATGATGGTTGGGTTTCCATTTTACAAACTATTGAGAGCCTTCAATAATATGCCAGGGAGACTCTTGTTTCTAATTATTATTATTTTCATTAAATATTTACCAAGTCACAGTAAACAGGAGAATATAAATTGCTGCAGATATACACTGATGCAGAGTAATTTTAATCCAGGTTCCTAAGCAATAGGAAAGATTCCATCTTGAATTATTTCAAAGGCATATCTGAGAGCTTGCCAGGACAGGTACCCCTGCTGTGGCGGCTTCTGCCTGGCTTCTCAGCATTCCCAGGGAAAGGAGGAGAGAAGCTGGAAGCGGCAAACCCTTTCACACTCTCACGGGCTCGCTGTTCAGGAACCTGTTCAGGAGCTTAGCCATCCCCACCTCTGCCTAACGCGTGCACCCTATACAGGGGTTCTCCAAAGTGTGGGTAACCACCCCTTAGTGGGTACTGGCAGCAATTTAGTGGGTCAAAAAAGCATTTAAAAGGTACCATAGAATAGAAAAATATCAGAGTGACACACATGTTTTGTAAAACGTTTGCTTCAGAGGGTGTGTGAGGTTGCAGTATGATATGTGTTTCTTTCTTGGGGTGGGTATATGAAGTTGGAAAGCCTCTGTCTTTCCCCACCAGTTGAAGGAGTTCCATGTGGGTCTCTCTTTGACCCTAATGACCTCAAGGATTTGTGGAAATGAAAAGCAGCTTTTCTCCTCAAAAAAGGTTTGAAAAAAATACCTTTTTTTCCTCCTCAAAAAAGTCTGAAATTTCTTCTTCATTTTTTTTCTCTAAAAGTTTAAGTTGTATTTCTCAGAATGCAGTGGAATTAGACTACAAATCAATAAAATGATGATAAGGTGAAAATCCCTCCCTGCTCAGAAATTAAGCAACCACATTTAAATAACCCACAAGCCAAACAGTACTTCACAAGAGAAATTAGAAAATAGTTTAAGTGATAATAAAGATACAATAAATCACAGTGTGTAGGATTTGGGAGACACTGTTCAAAGGGGACTTCATAGCATGTTACATTTATTATAATGTAATCAGTGAATACTCAGTTTCTCTCCTTGCCTCCTTTTTCATTTTCTCTCAGTTTCTCCTGCCGTCTCCATGTCCCCCCACCTCTCTCAGCCTCCCTCCCTTTACTGTCCTCTCTTTACAGGGCTCCTGAATCCTCTCAGCTTCTCACCTCAGTCTGTCCCCCCTTTTATATTCTCCCCCCCACCTTTCTAGTTTTTATCTTTTCACTGTTTCCCTGAATATTTGTTTCTTTTTCTCTGTATGTTTTACCCCATCTGCTTTTCTCACCTCTCCTTCACCCTCTTTTTGCTTCTCTCTGGTTCTCTACCATTTGCGCGTCTCTACTGCCCATCTCTTTTCTCTCTCTGTTCCTCTCTTTCCTCTTCCCTCTGTTCTTCCCCTCCCCCTTCCACAGTCCCCTGGCTCTGCTCCTCTGTGGCCATCTTTCCCTCTCTCTGGGTCCCTCTGTTTATCTCCTTCTTCTTGTGGTCTCTGCCCTCCCCCTGCCCTGCGCCTGCCCCTTCCTGCTGCCCTGCATGCTCTCTTTGGCCTCTCTCTCTGATTCACCTGCACACACTTTTTACCCCTTGCTTTTTTTCCTCTATCTTTCTCCCATTTTCTCAAACTTAGGTTTGTATTTTAAGTTGTGACAAAAAAGCACACAGAACATAATGTTTATCCTCTTAACCGTTTCTAAGTGTACAGTTCAGTACTGTTAATTTATTCACATTGTTGTGCAACCTCTTCTTCATTTTGTAAAATTATACTCATGAAAACAAGAGAGTCTTCTCTAAGATCAGTAGCTTCGTCAGTCCTAGACTCAAGAAATTGCCTTCAAGTTCAAGATCCAGTAAATCTTTAGTATTACAGGTCTATTATTTTATGAAGTTTGGCCCTAAAGTAATGGCACTGTTTCCACACACATTGCTCTCATTACTTTATATAGTTTATTATAAATTTTATTTTTAATAGCCTTCCCTTGTTTTACTTTTTTGCCATTTATGTCTTAGTTATTAAAATGTACAAAACCAAAAGTTAAATGCATTGCTAAAAAATAATATTATCATGCTGAGTGGACTTTCTTCTGTGGTTTTTTTATACCAGAGTTGGGATATGTCATGCTTATCTTCTTTATTAACATTGGGACTGATTTAACAAAAGTGTGCCATGAATTCATGAAGTGACTACGATCCCCTGTAGCAGTGGGCAGATATAACCACAGGGAAGGGACAGCTTTTGATTGAGAAGGTTTTCTCAAGCAGAAGTACTTGTCCTACCATCAGACCACAATTCTGAGTTCTTCTTTTGAATTCTCAGATGATTTCTCGGTTGCAAAAGCCTCAGAGGTAAAGCTCTATTAGCCTGTAATCTAGTCGTTTTATAGAGAGGATTGTTTAGTATCATCTCTGTCCTGCCCTTTAAACGTTCTTAGGAGCAATAGCCTTACACTGGGGAATACTCTCCAGAGGAGGTACTTCCTGATAGTTTCCAGGGGAAAGTACTTCCTAATGGTTCCCATAACTTTTCCCCAGTCTTAATCTGTCCATTTAATTAGTTTTATCTAGTATATGCCCTTATAAATGCCTTCCCTCCTCTCTCTGGATGCGTTCCTCAGATGGGTTCTAACTTCCTGAGTTCTTATTTATAACTGTTACTACGTATCTCCTCTCTTTTATTTAATGTCTTTTCAAGTTTTGATTTATTCCAACATTCTAATTATTCCCATAATGGTTTCTAACTCAGGATTGGTTATACAGAGATATGAACAAGATAAATCCATGTAAAACACTTAGCACTGTGCTTGCGCAGTCAGTAAATGTTGGCTTTTTGTTGTAATTGTCAATAATATTATCAAAGTATCAAATGCGCAACCTATCAAATGCAGTAATTTTAATAGTTAGGCAGTAATTTTAATAGTTAGGCACTTGACAAATACTTTCGATGAAAAGCTTATACTGCTGGGTTGATTGGCACATTTGCCCTTCTTCCACCTTTAAGCTAAATGTTCATGGCTCATTAACCAGTTTTTAATCAACTTGTCAGGATGTAACTTATGGGACGTATTTTTTTCCAGTAGAATTATTTTCATGTGAAGTAATAGAAAGAAAATACTCAGATTTATTCTTCATGACTAAGTGATTTTCTTCTTGTTGATCAAAGTGATTCTACTTGGTCCATCTGTGTATATTGAGAGACTTCTGAGAAGCCCATTTCATTAAATATTTTGAATTGATTCACTGTACTTCTGTTCAGAGATCCTTGAATTTGGATTTCACTCCAACGCCTATTGTCTTGGGATTCTTCTAAAAAAAAACTCATCATTCTAGTTTCCAAGATACAGTATTTGATTTGGTCACATATTCAGGGCTCTGGCTTTAGCCTTCCTTGGGGAGGTGGGAGCTGGCCAGCCCAGGGAGCTTTGTGGACAGGCCTGAAAAGCACAGCAAGGGGCTGTGTACGCCTGCTCTGCACCCATGCACCAAGGACGGCAGGCCACAGCTTGTGCCAGGCCTTCCGGGCAGACTTTCCATTACAGAGCCAAAACCAACACACGGTTATTACTGGGAATTACCTCTTTGCCTTAGTCAGGTGTGAGGAAGCGGTTCTAGTTTGGGAATGGGTCGTCTGTTTTTCTCTTGTAAAGGCTGATGTATCCATGACTTGCTCACTCCAGACAACATTGTCTTTGTGTCCGCTTTGCTCTATAGGTGACCTTTACGGAGCCATCGGCTCTCCAGTGAGGCTGACTCGCACCGTGGTGGTGGGGAAGCAGAAGGATTTGGTCCAGCGCATACTTTATGTCCTGACCTACTTTCTCCGTTGCTCTGAGCTGCAAGAGAACCAGCTGACCTGGAGTGGGAATCACGGGGAAGGTGACCAAGTGATAAACGGGAGCAGCATCACCACAGCCTTGGAGAGGGGCGAGGTGGAGGAGTCGGAGTACGTGGTAGTTACGGTGAGAAGTGAGCCTGCTCTCCTTCCCCCCATCCTACCACCAACGAAGACAGCTGAGGGAAGGAGCCCCGGGACTGAGGGGTTGGCTGGGAACCCAGAGGGCATGGACGTTAGAGACCTGTCCCCCAAACCTGACAAAGAAGGAAACAAGAGTTCTGAGGCCAGCAGCATGGGATACCAAGAGGCAGCCCTGGACAGCTCTTGGAAAACTCAGGACACATTTTGTGGGGATGAAGAAAGTGAAAAAGAGGCACCACGAGATGGCTCTTCAAGATTCTCCAGCTGCGAAGGTTTAGGGGCAGGACTGAAGACTGGGCAACAGACTGGCAGTGAGGAGTTGAAAGGGGAGATGCCTAAGAAACTACCAGACCGGTCAGCGGCTTGGCCTTGCCCTGACAGACATTCCCGGGAGAAGCCTCCCTTAGAAAAGGTCACCTTCCAAATTGGAAGCTCCGTATCTCCAGAGTCTGACTTTGAAAGCCGTACAAAAAAAATGGAGGAGCGGCTAAAGGCCTGTAGACAATATCCAGAGTCAGCGAGTCATCTCTCTGCTGAGCCCAGGGTGGCTGCTGACGGGGCTCAGGACCAGCAGGTTTCTAGGTGCTCCTTCACGCCTGGCTTCCAAAAGAATGTCTGCCATCCTCAGAATCAATCTTCTGACGGAGATGAGGGTAAATTTGACAGGGGTTTGGCTGAGGACAGAGGCATCAGAACCGACATTGCAGCAGATGCTGCTGGGCAGCTCAACCAGTGTGTGGACTCGTTATCACCTAATGATGGTATGGCAGGAGCTGGACAGAGAACGCTGGAGAAAACGAGAGGTTTGTATGTGAAGGTTGCAGAAGGACCTTTGATAGAGCCTGTTCCAAGCAGGTGTGTACAGCAGGACTCTGGCTTCTCGGTCACTGCAGATGTCCCCTGTGGGGATGCCAACAGGAAGGCAGACTTCAGGGTTGAAGGAGACATTCCCAGAAACGAAAGCTCAGATAGCGCTCTTGGAGAGAGTGACGACGAAGCATGTGCTTTAGCTGCGCTGAATCTAGGTCACAGCAGTGACCGGACTGAAGGGTCCCTGGAAGTGGAGCTGCCTCTGCCAAGGTAACATTAGCAGTCTGGGAAGCAGAGGGAACTGGGTTCAAATACTTGTTTCCTGACCTACCACCCATGACCATGTTAGCTGCTGTTGGCTGTTTTATGCATAATGGTTTTTTTTCTCAGAGTATTAGAAGTGTTACACAAACTGGTACCGATGGTTTCCAGCCTGCCCTTTCTCCAAGGATGATCACTGGCTTAGTGCATCTGAGCTCTGAGCAAGGAGGCAAGTGGTTGCATTTGCAACTACTGTGACACTTTGGGGAAGCTAAGCGATGTGGTGAGGTAGTGGCAAGGAGCAGGGAGTTTCATTTTCTGTCCTCTGTATGAGAGTTGAATGACTGGCAGCAGATGCCCTGCTTCGGAGGTGGTGGATTACCTCGCCATGCGGCTTCTCTCCTGCCGGTCAGAGCAGCATGAAGTGGTTGGGAAACAACACCTCTTCCTTAACACTCCATCAAGTTGATTATTTGGCCTGTGATGACTGAAAGTAGTAATTAGAGATTTCTTCTGTTCTTCTGCGCTGCTGTGGGCACCACCCTGTGCAGATGTGTCGAGTTCCTAAAGCCAGACTTCTGGCAAGATCTCCCCCTCAGTAGACTTTCTCTTTCTTCACTCTCTTGACATGGACTGCCTGGTGGATGTTCGATATGAGGTACAAGAACAAACTCATAACCAGCCATCAAAATACTGGGGGGTTTTCTGCCCTTCCATTAAAAAAAAAAAAAAAACTCCTTTTTCTCTTCCAGCCCCCTTCGTTTTCCCGCACAATGATCCACCTACCAAAGGATTGGTGAAATGGACCACCCTGAGTCTGTTTCTCTTACCTCTGTCATTGGGGTTTTTGTTCCAATTGTAAGGCAAGAAGGAAGTTCATTTTTAATCGTGTATTCTAATGGGCCAATATTGTTTTAGGTCTCAGAGCATCAGCAACCCGAATGTAAGAAACTTCGGCCGCTCACTTCTGGCGGGTTATTGCCCCACGTACATGCCTGATCTGGTGCTTCATGGGACCAGCAGTGATGAAAGGCTGAAGCAGTGCCTGGTGGCCGATCTGGTCCACACAGTCCATGTAAGTGATCCCAGCTTGGAGCCTCTGGCTGCTGACAGTGTGTCAGCCAGGATGTTGGCGAGCAACAGGTGTTTAGACTGAAGAGGGTGTAATTAAGAGATTGTTTACAGAGATGCAGGCAGGGTTACAGGAACCAGTAAGGGCTGGTGCAGCACCCGGGTTAGAAGCCCCTGGAAGCTGTGAGCACACCTGGTCCTGAAGGAGTAAGAAGGCGGAGCAGTGACACTAGAGCTGTGGAGAGCTGGAGCTGGAAGAGGGGCTGCCTGGCTGCAGAGGCACTGAGCAGGGTGGGGGATAACGCCTGACATCTCTCTCCTCCAGCCTCTGAGCTCCACCAGAGCTTCCCATTGGCTAAGCCCAGCTGGAAGCCAGAGAGCAAGATCATAGCTGATGCAGACACAGTCCTCTGGTCCACAGAGGTCAGCCTCCTGGGGCCCGAACAGGACAGAGAAGGGCAAAGAGTGGATCTGGGGGTGGAGAAGCCGGGCAAATAGAATAAACAGCACAGATGGTGACAATTATATGCTGTCACGGGGAGGACTGAAGAGATGTCACATATGGTTTGCTTTTTATCTGATTCTTACAAGTTCGTAAAAGTAATTTATTTTAACTGATTTGTCATTAAGTTCATTTTGATGGCTGCATGAGGATGACTGTATAAAGATTAACAAGTCTTACTGGAAAATTGCCTTGTGGCTGCCGTTAAGTGCTTTTCTGCTATCTGCAGCGTGACAGGAACTGAGCAGTTAACAAAACTGTGTCAATCTGATGGGCCTGTTTTTAATTGAGCTGCTGTTGGGCAGATGTACAAAAATAGATGTTTTGCATTGGAAACATACTGTATCTTGCACAATAGGGCAAGTCCTCATTGCATTAAGAAAATTAGAATTTGGGTTGTTACCTAGCTCCTTGCCCAACAAGTATTTTTTGAGAGGTAGAACAGAAGATGTTGTGCATGTTATCTTTTGCCTTGAGCATCTCCTCGGTGAAGACTAAACATACATCACACACAGGCTAAACAGGCTGGATATGTTTGTGTGAAATGGGAAGAAAAGCTCAGTAGTGAGGCAGTGGTCCTCACAACCCCCTAGCATGGGGAGGAGGAAGAGATGAGAAGGGGTTGATCTGAAGCTGGGAAGGCCAGCCCAGTTTACCCATTTGTACCCAAACATTCCTAACCCCACCCTGCTTTGTGGTCAGACACCACCCCTCACCAGGACATTCCTGGAATGAAGCTATGAAGTTGCTTTTGTCTCTATAAGGAATGTCGTAATATTTGATTTTCACAGTTGCAGTGAACACTGTATACTTGTTTATCATTTCGGAGGTCCATATATCAGTGACCTTAGAATAAGAACAATGCCCTAAGTGTATGATACTATCTTTCTAGGTTGTCTTAAACCATATGTGAAGCCTCAGTGATTTTAGAGACTCGCGTACATTTAGTAGCCATCTGTAGCATTAAGCCAGGGAATTAGAGACCCTCCTTTCCTTTTCTGTTAGCACCTTATGTTTATATCCATATATGCAAAACCATTGGGGTTTTTTTTCTGCTCTGCTGTCGGTTTGATTTGTAAGAACATTGGTGTTGCTCGTTGGACGCTTCTTCCATGAAGTCCCTTGTTCTGCTTCTGACAGAGGTGTCAAGAGATCGCCTGTGAAATAACAGGGTTGTCTTCAGTGCCATCGATCTTACCGACTGGAGAGTGTCGCCCAAATGCCCTAGACTCGCTCACTAGCCACTATAGAAGTGTAATCTGTTGATTGATATCCCTCCTTGAATTTGTCTGCAAAACCATTAATGACATTTTTTATATTTTCCATAGGCTGACAAGTTCTGGTTTTTTGTGTTTTCATAGTGACCATCTAGCTCTATAATTCTTATATTTGAAAACGAAACTGTATTTCCTCCATTTGTACTCTTAAAGACTTTTCGTATATCATTTTCCCTTCCTTTCAGAAGCAGTGTTTTCACACTGTAGCTTTTCTCATTTCTGTAGACTATGCAAATCACCCTGAGAGATCGAATGTTATTAAGCAAAATAACCTATATTGTGTCAAATTGTGGGTACATCCAAAGTGCAGCCATGCATGGGTGTTAATGGGAAATTGCGACGGGTTCATAAAAACATCTTCAGAAGTTTAATACGTTCAGAATGTATCCGATTAGCATTAGTGGATTTCTAATTTCACTTGGCACATGCATCATAATGAATTTTGCTTTTGAAGTAGTGTTCCTTTTAAACTGCCTCTCAGACTGGGACTCTGGTCTATGGCAATGTTTAAACAGCCTTACTTTCGACTGCCATTTATAAATATTTGTTGAAAGATAAATTAGGAAGCTTTTTTTGAACATTGTATTGAATTTACTGCTCCATAAAGCCTAGTAATTATTTAAATTCTTGAGTATGATTCCATAGAAAGAAGCAAGGACCCAAGAACAAGTACCTGAGCAGAGTTAGAGCCGAAATAATAGCTTGTTGAGGAAGAGAAGATTGGGGCCGGTCCCGTGGCTTAGCGGTTAAGTGTGCGCACTCCACTACTGGCGGTCCGGGTTCGGATCCCTGGCACACACCGAGGCACCGCTTCTCCGGCTATGCTGAGGCCGTGTCCCACATACAGCAACTAGAAGGATGTGCAACTATGACATACAACTATCTACTGGGGCTTTGGGGGAAAAAAAAAAAAAGAGGAGCATTGGCAATAGATGTTAGCTCAGAGCTGGTCTTCCTCAGCAAAAAGAGGAGGATTAGCATGGGTGTTAGCTCAGGGCTGATCTTCCTCACAAAAAAAAAAAAGAGAGAGAGAAGATTGGGATAAATTGCTTGATCATAACTTGCTTTCAAAAACCTATTTTTTGGACATTAATAATTTTTTGTGTTCATGCCAAACTTCATCAGGCTTTGATGTTCGTAATTGTTTTTTAGAGAAGGATTTTTAATAACTGTTTAAAAGTAATTGATTTAAGTTATTGATCTATTTTCTAGACCAATGCATGATGGGATTATAAAATCTGTCTTATGTAAATGTGCATTTTTATACCTATGGTAGACTAGTTTGTGGAGTTTCTTCTCTCATTGAGAGATTGCATTCTAGAGCTTCCAATACTAAGAATTTCTTTTTGTACGTTTCCTTATTCTAGTCTCTTAGGAAAGAAAGCTATATTAACTTTATTTCATTTATTTTCATTTTTATTATTGGCTTTCCCATGTTAAGATTCTGATAGTCTTTAAATATTTAAACATATGTTCTTGTTTAATCCATATACTGCCTCTTTTCTGTCATTTGAACTGTTTCTCTGCCTCCTAACATATAGATTATACAGCTGCCTTAAATTAGGCTAAAGTAATATTCAGTTTCATTTTTTTTTCCCCTGCCACATCTAAATGTGCTTTCTTTCCTCTCTTTTCCTTTTGACTTTAAATGGTGAAGTGGGAAAGAAAGAGAGAGCCAGCTTCCCTCTGTACTTGTGACCCTCAAGTAGCTTTTTCTCTCTTTTTTTCTCTCATGTGATTGTCTGGCTGTGAATACTGCTGACCAGGGCAGTATTAAATTATGGGGCAGTGGAGAGTGGTGGAGGAGCGTTGACTTAATACTGACGGCTTGGGTTCAAGTCTTAGACTTACCACTCATGCACTGACAGTCAAGTAAATCAATTGGCATCACTGAGCCTCAGAAAAATGTATTTAGAGGAACAGATGAAATATAACCCAGTGGTTAAGAGTTTTGCTTCTAAAGACAGACAAACCTGAGTTTGAATCATGGCTCACCTCTTAGTGGCTTTGTGGCCTTGGGCAAGTTTCTTTAATTTTCTAAGCATCAGTTTCATCTTCTATAAGATGAACAGTACTTATAAGTCTGGTTTGAAGACTCTGTGAGATAATGCATATCAAGTGTTTAGCACAGCACCTGGCACATTACTAAATGCCCAATAAATGTTAGCTGTTAAAATGATGTATGTGCAAGTGCTTTGTAAACAAGTTTCCCAGGAAACTCCTTTTGGAGGTGATGAAACAGAACCCCCACACACATTCATTCTAGGCTAAAAGCGTCCACTTTCCCTTTGCCTCTGATATCACAAGGAGCAGGCCAGGCAGTGCTAACTCTGCAGGGTAGGGTCATCAAAACCAAAATTAACATCACATTTTGATGTTTTATTAGAAATTATGTCCCAAGGCTTCAGGCATTTTACAGAATAATCTGTAAAATAAAATAACAGTTGGATATAGCAGCCTCTTTCATTTAATTTTAAGAGTAGCAACAGATTGACTCCAGAAATATCTTGCGGAAATCAGTAGCACAGATAAGGAGCTTTGCTAAAAGCCTGGCTGTGATATATGCTCATGGATACCTAATTAAGCCATGCAGTGTAGTCAACCAGGAAGACTACAAAAGAACAGTAAGTCACATCAAATGATAAATCATTACTTAAGTAACACAGACAGCATTAAGTGCCTCAAGTCAGTCACCAACAACCTTGAGATCAATAGTGTTGTGAAGGAAACATCTATGTAGAACAAATCTGCTATTTTAGAACACCTCTTGTTGCATTCATTTCCCTGTGTTGGATAATGAGCATGACAATACCTTGGTCCTATAGCACTGTCTTACTCTTTAGTGAAATCTTTGTTGTGTGTGTGTGTATACATACACATATAGGTGTATATACACACATGTTCTTATGGGCACACATGTATAAGCATATACACTGGGTTATGTTAAAATGTATTTCTTATTGGGAATTGTGATTAAAAAAATACTGGTCTCTGGATATCGCCAGCTCTAGTCTGAAATCTTGGTGATTCTGTCCTCTTCTCACTGTGACTGCAATCTTCCTTAAGTTCCCCTTAACCTTCCCAACTAGTATCCCTGTGTCTGGTTTTCCCCTTCCAGTCATCTTGCGCAGTGCCACAAGAGGGCTCTTTCTGAAACGACAATATGATCATCTACTCTTCTGCTCTAATACTTTCCCATTTTTTTAAACAGAGTAAAATATAAAC